AATGCACATCATGCCTGGCCAGTGTAGCTCAGTGGTTTAGCGTCAACCCATGAACCAAGAGGTCCCCGGTTCAAATCCTGGTCAGGGCACATGCCTAGGTTGTGGGCTCGATCCCTATAGTAAGGGGGTGGGGGATGTTTCTATTTCTTTATCCCTCTCCTTTCCTTTCTCTCTAAAAATCAACAAAACATTTTTTTAAAAATGCGAATCATGCCACCTTCCCTTCAGAGGCTCTCTATCACCCCCAGGAAAAAGGCCCACATTCTTCCCTCAGTGTCTGGACTGCAAGGTTTGACCTGGATGGTCTTCCAACCTCCCCCTTGCTCTGGCTCCAGACACACTGACTTCTCTCAGGCCCCACAGTGCCTGTCACTCCAGACCTTTCTCTGACTTGCTCACTTCTGTACATCCTTTAGGTCTCAACCCAATGTCACTGCTTCCAGGCAGCCTTCCCTGACCGCCCCAGGTTGGGTTCCCACCCCCCGTCAGCTGCTCCCACAGCCTAGGACTATCCCCAGCCCCTTCCTGGCCCATTTGATTATAGGTAATGTCTTCCATGTCTGTCTCCTTCCCCAATGCGGAGCTGCAAGAGGGCAGGGACTATCTTATCGGCATCACCAGCTCGGTGCCCGGAGTGAAGCCTGGCACCCGTGTGCACTCCACAGGTATTTGCTGAGTGATTGAACACACCTATTTGGCTGTTCATTGAAATGGATTTATTCATTCAACAAATATTTATTGAGCATCTACTAAGTGTCAAGTCAGGTTCTCTACACTCCACAGTAGTGAACTAACCTCAGAGTCCCCGCCCTCCTGGGGATCACATTCTACTTGGAGGATGCAGACATTAAACAGATAAAGAAATAATACAATGGCAGATAGTTCAGTGCTATGAAGGCAAACAAAGCAGCTGTAAGGGAAGAACGGTGTGTGTGTGTGTGTGTGTGTGTGTGTGTGTGTGTGTGTGTGTGTGTGTTAGTGGCACTTCTGTGAGGAGGCGAGGGTCCTGAGAGACCCAGGACCCTCCCCCTTCTTGGGCAGGCTGGGCCCCAGATGTGTCCAGGTGTGACAGTCCCAGATCCCCACATCCTCCCTGCCTCCCAGGGTGGGAGCAAGGAAGCCCGAAGAGGCCTTTGGGAGGGAGGCTATGGCGCGAGTGCGAAAGCCGAAGCTGCTCTTCACAGCAGCTGTGATTGGGCTCTTTCTGCGCGGCGAGAGGCGGCGATTGCTTTGTGCGGGGAGGACTGATTGTGGCCGGGCGATTGGCACCCACAGATCGCGGCCGCCCGGGTTTACCGCGCACCCCCAGCGCCGCGGCGGGCCGTGCGCAACGCGCCAGCCCAATCTCGCCTCCTATATTCAGAGTTGATTAGACGCTATTTCTGCCTGGATTTTCAGAAGGCTCAAGAGCTTTTTTAATCACTACAGTGGCTCATTACGGTTTCGCAGTGACACTCATGTCCTTCAGTTCTCTTCTCAGATTAGATTCTATAGTCAGATGAATATTGGATGATTTCATTACATACAAATGCAATCAACAGTTTTGCATAAATTTCTTCTCTTTTCTTGAGTTTCAATTGACCCCAGCACCCATGGTGGCAGGCGCGATCCACATGCAAATGAGCTGCGTTTGCAGCCGCGGAGAGGGAGCGGGAGGAGGCGGCTCTTGCGCCAGCCCGGAGCGAGCGAGCCTTGATTGCTCAGCTTTGGGCGAGGCCCTTGGAGGAGGGGGCGCAGCTCCAGGGGCAGCCGCCATGGCCCAGGGCACCCCGTGCGGGGCTGATGTACCTGCTGGCGAACTGAGGCGCGGAGATGCTCATAGTGGGGCCGGCTCTCTGGGCGGAGGAGTGTGGAGATGGAACCTGGCAGCAGGGCCCTTAGCCGTGTGCTCAGGGTGCTTGGGCCGGCCGGCGCTAGTTAACAGCTGGTATGGACATGTTTCAACATTTTAACAACTGGTAGGGCCTTATCAGTGCGTTCCTGCTGGTTGCTAGCTCTAAGCCAGTGAATGCTGCCGCCATTACCATCATCATCATCATCATCATCATCATCATCATCATCATCATCATCATCATCATCATCATGGTTTCCCCTGTAGGGCTCAGGGCTCAAGCCATGGCCATGAATGAGGACAACCAGCCAAAGTCAAGACCAGCCCAAGGCAGACGGGAAAGAGGAGCCTGGGAAAATACCCCCCTTTCTTGATTTCTCTCCTTTTGTGGATGGAGAAGCAGGATGGTCTCAGAAGGCCTCCTTTACCAGGAGACTGAATCCCATGCACAGCTATGGCAGCCGGGGCTTGTTCCCCCCTGTGGCCGGGAGCTCTCTCCCTGAGCAGCCTCTTCTGCTTACTCAGCACCTTGCCGAGAAGGCGCTTCTGTGAGCTCCCCAGCCCTGGCCCTGTGCTGTCTGAGCCCACAGCCCCCTTCTCCTGAGGTCAGCCGTGGGGATGTGCTCTGAGGAGTCACCTTTTCTGGGGCTGCGGCCTCCCACCTGGTCTGTCCTCCAGAGGCTCCTGGTGGCTGTCACAGTTCAAAATCCAAGCCCGGACTCAACACCAGGCACGAGGCTGGAAGATCACATGCGGAGAGCTGTGTGTGGTCAGGGCACCCAGGGCTCAGAGCTGTGCCCCTGTGGTGCAGGGGAGGAAGCCCTAGATGGAAGCTGCGGACCTGAGGTTCTGCCGGGTCAGGGGTCGGTGCATCCCGAACCTCACTTCCTTCAGCAGGTTCTTTATGAAAGCTCCGTGACATGACACAGTGTAGGATCTCGACCCAGAGAGAGACATGCGATCGATAGACAAGGAGTCAGGGACCCAGGAGCGATGGGACCCAGCTCCAGTCATCATCATGGACACAATGGAACCCTGAAGTGGGTGGAGCCAGAGCCACAGCCATGGACGCGGCCCAGGCCCCTATCACTGCCTCCCTAGGTCAGAATCCCAACCAGAGGTCTGGAGAGAGGAGAGTTGGGCATAGAGTCACAGCATCGAAGCCAGAGCCTCCTGCGGCAATCTGGGGGCTGCTTCCCTCTCCTCTGGCCCCCTGAGGACCACTCCCTGGTCATTCTGTCCTTCTGTGCACAGTCTCTCGACACCTTCTTCCCAGCGGAAGGGACTCACCCCGCACTGCCTGTGCGTCTGTCTTCTGCTGCCCTCCGCTTCCCCACACCCCCTTCCTGTGCAGCTCTGCGTGCCTCTCTCTGCCCTGTCCCTCCCGGTCTCCATCCTTGACTCTGCCTGCCTGTCCGTCTCTGTGTCCCTTCCTCTCCTCCCTCCCTCTCTGCTCCTGGTCCTCTCTCCGTCTCTCTGTGTCTGTTCCTTGCTCTTAGTGCCTGTGTTTCCAGAGCTGGCCTCTCATGGGATTGGTAGATTTGAGACCTTGGGCTGCCCCCTGGGGGCTCTGGCCCCTGGAAGGAGGAGGCTGCAGGTGGGGATTGGTTTCTGAACTCTCTGAGCCTCCCTGTGGTGGCCAGCCCTGGGCCATCCATTTCTCTCCCAGTCAAGGATCGCAGGAGAGCCATCCTGTTTCTTTCATCACAGGACTTTCCTCACTCTGGCCTGCAAGAGGGGGTGGGAGGCAGGGGTGGGCAGGGGCGAGGAAGGACTCCTCCACTTGACTGGGGTCATGCTATCCAAGCTGATCTTCAAGTTGGGTCCAGACCTGCTGCTGTTGGTGGCAGGGTCCCCCCATGGGAGCTCCCCTCCTGCCCACCCTCCCTGCAGCTCCTCCTGGCCCAGTGGAAATCTGGTCCGCTCCCCCCCCCCACCTCTCTCTCACCCAGGCATGGAGGACTGCTTTCCTAGGATTCCCCTGCTTCCCAACCCCCGGCCTTGGCACTTGCAGGGCAGACAGGAAAGAGCGGGGCTCTAGAGGCTGGCAGGCCTGGGCTCTAGAGGCTGGCAGGTCCGTGCCAACCCCAGTCCTGCCACTTGCTGCTGGATCATCTCAGGCGAGAGATGTAACCTCCCCGAGCTCAGTTTCCTCCTGTGGAAATGCAGGTAACACTTCTCTCCTGGCAAGACTGGCAGGAGGATGGCGTGAGAAAAGTTACGTAAGCATACCTGGTACAGAGTTGGGCACAGAGTAGACATTCATTAAAGCACTGTTATGAATACAGGAATGAGTAAATGATGAATGAATGGCAGAATTTAGACATGCATAAATGGGGCACGGGGGGAGGAAGGCCAGGCGTTAAGAATGGCACAAGCGAGGGCATGGAGGGCAGAAATCTTAGAGAGGGAACAGGGAGCCGTGAGTGCTCAGCATGAATGCAGAGCCCGGAGTCCCAGTGCAGAGCCCGGAGTCTCGGGGAGTGGGGACAGGACTGGGCAGAGCAGAAGGGCCTCCTGAGTGCCAGCGAGGCACGAGGCCCCACGTGTGATTGCAGCAGCAGCTACCGGGAGCAGAGGCCCCACGCTAAGGCATTCATGAGCACTATCTCGGTTCACCTTCACCACAGCCCTCTGAGGGAGGTGCCATTATTCCTACTGACAGAGGAGGAAATGGAGACTTAGAGAAGTCAAGTGGTTTTCCTGGGTCACACAGCTAAAATCGGCCCCAGCCAGGATTGGATTTGAGAGAGAGAGGAAGGGAAAGAGAGAGAGAAAAAAGAGTGGTTGCCTTTGTATATGCCCCAACCGGGAATCAAACCGGCAAACATGGGTATGTGCCCTAACTGGGAACTGAGCCCAGTACTTTTTGGTGCACGGGGAGACACTCCAACCAACTGAGCCACGCTGGCCAGGGCCCCAGCCAGGACTTGAACGCTGGTCTCCAAAGCTTGTCCTCAGTCTCCTTCCAAAGGGACGGCTCCTTCTCCCCCAATTTCTAGGCGGGTAATGCCATGAGAATAAAATGGCCTAAAAAGACTTCCAGTTAGTGAAGGCGAGTGAAGAAGGGCACGCTGAAAAGGTCCAAATAAATATCAAGAAGAGAGCAGCTTGCCACAAATGCATCAGGGAAGGCTTCCTGGAGGGAGCTGGGCACAGAGGCAGAGACATGGCCCTGAGTAAGGGTGGCAGTGGGGTGTGGCCCGTCACCCGGATGACACAGGAGCACAATGGCTCAGCTGTGCCACAGCCTGGGCTGGGGCTCCTGACTGGGACCTGCTTTTTCCTGGGGTCCAGTTCCTTTGCCCCAGAAAAGTGGGATGGACAGGTTTCCAGTGACTCCGGACCTGGGCCCATTCCCAGCCCTGCCGCCCTCTTGCTGCAGGATTTGGGCCTCACCGACCTTGTCCACCTGAGAAAGGGGGGCTGTGCTCACAAGCTGGGTGCAGCTGAAGGTCAGAGCGAGCAGAGCAGCACGTGGCCAGGTTCAGGGCCAGCTCTGAGCAATGTGGCCCCTCCCTTCCAGGGCGCCGTACCCCTGGAGCAGGCGCAGAACCCCACTTCAGAGCGTGTGCGGTGGTCAGACCCTGAAGCCAGGCTGCCCCACTCCTTCTTGCTGTGAGAGCTTGAATGTTACTTAACCTAGTTCTATACAGTTTCCTCATCTGTACAATAAAGATGACAGTGTAAGCCAGGGTCCCTTATTTAAAACCAGTGACGGCAGATGGTTTCAGAGCTTTTCTGACTGTGAAGTCTAACGCCCAAATCCCATCTACTGTACAGCCGAGCTGTGGGCTCTGGGGCATTTCTTATAATCAAATTTATTCATCAATTTTTTTCAACAAAACATATAAATGTTCATACCAGGGAGTGAAATGAAGACCAAAAATAGCTTCTCCTTAGTTCAGGTCATTTTAGCACCACATAATTTGACACCAAACCTAGGTGAAACTTTCTGGCCACCTAAGCTTTTAGGACTTCAGTCTTGTGGAGAAGGGCTTGTGGGTCTGGAGTATTTGTCTGATGGGGCTGGCGTGTGGATAAAACGAGTTAGTACACGCAAGGCACTTAGAGCCAGGCCTGGCACAGAGTGAGTGCGCAATGCTCAAGGTCCTCCCATGGCTCCCCTGTCCTCAGGGTAATGTGCAGTCAATTTCACATGAGGCCCTTCATGACTGGAGCCCTGTCTCCAGCCTCAGGTCTTCCTCTGCCCTGCACACCCTACACTTTAGCTTCGCTATCTCTTTTCAGTTTCTCAGATACACTGGGCTCTCTCTGCAGGTCGGTGCACTTGCTGTGTCTTCTGCCTGAAACGCTCCCCTTCCTGATCCCCTTTCCTTCCTTCCTTCCTTCCTTCCTTCCTTCCTTCCTTCCTTCCTTCCTTCCTTCCTTCCTCCTCTCCCTCCCTCCCTCCCTCGCCTCTCCCTCCTTCCCTCCCTTCCTCCCTTCTTTTCTTTTCTTTCTTTCTTTCTTTCTTTCTTTCTTTCTTTCTTTCTTTCTTTCTTTCTTTCTTTCTTTAATATATTTTTATTGATTTCAGAGAGGAAGAGAGAGGAGGAGATAGAAACATCAATGATGAGAGGGAATCATTGATTGGCTGCTTCCTGCACGCCCTCCACTGGGGATTGAGCCCGAAACCTGGGCTTGTGCCCTGACTAGCAATCGAACCGTGACCTCCTGGTTCATAGGTTGATGTTCAACCACTGGCCCCGCCAGCAGGGCCCAACCCCCTTTTCTTAATTGTTTCTTCCTGTAGGTTTCACAGCTCTCACCTAAGCACAAATCACATGCTGGGAAAGTTGCTGGTCTCCTCTGCAACTTTCTGGGAAAGCAGTAGCCACATGCACATCTGTCCCTGGCATACAGTCGGCGTTGAATGAATGAGCATCCTCACCCGTCAATGGCATTGTCATTAGCTCAGGTTCTGAATATGTGTTTGTTGAATGAAACACAAGTCTGGAAGGAAGATCCCACCCCCCCTATGCACCCCAGGAGAAGATTCTTGGAATGTTCTCTCCCTCCCTCCTCCCCTTCCTCCCTCCTCCCCTTCCTCCCTCCTCCCCTTCCTCCCTCCTTCCCTTCTTTCCTCTCCAAATTCCTTAAGTGATTTTTAAACAGGGACCCAGTCCATGCAGGGGGCCAGTGAGGCCTCCAGGATCACAGGGCCTGGGGGAGGTGGAATGAGTACATTAGGCAGAAACCACTTGTTCAGGGTTAGTAGAGGCCTCTGGGGCCTGGGGAGCAGGGGGTGGGGTGAAGGGGGCCTCTGGAATCCTGGACAATTGCTATAAAATAAACTCCATAATCAGGTAAACACGCTCGTGTGGGGGATGGTTCCCCTGCAGCTGTGGGCATCCTCCCGGCTGGAGGGGACCTGTCTAATCTCAGGGTAATGAGAACGTGGGTCCAATTACGACGAAGGGCCGAGGCCCAGACTGGGCCGGAGTGGGGGAGCTGGGCCCCTGGCAGCGGAATTAGAACATTTAAGCTGTCAGGCCGAATCCGGGACAGGCCTGATTACCTGGTCCACTGAGGGGCCGCTTTGGTTTGGTGTCGACTATAATTTCCTGGCCGCCAGCCGTGAAGCCAGGGGCCACCTTCTCTCCTGTGCGATGGGGGTCTAGCCCCTGCCTCTCTGACCTCCATCCCGCCAGACCCACCCAGGAGGGCTCCGCTGGGCCTCCCAAGGTGTCTGTGTGGGACAGGAAGCGGAACAGGTACATGAGTGTGTGTGATCCGTGGACACAGGTTAAGGCCGTGTGTGAATGACACGTGCACAGGAGGTGGATACGGTACACGTGTTAATGGATACTCTGGGTATGTGTCAGTGATACAAGACACGTGTCCACGTGGATTATGTGCAGCAGAACCAGCAATGGAGTGTGTGGGGGACTCATGCACATGGGCTCTATGTACAGGGTACCTGTGTGTGGACAAGTGCACAGAGCAGGGCGCATGTACATAGGTTATATGTGGTGTGTGCTCGCAGTTGTGTGTCCTGATCTGTAAGTGCCATGAAAGCAGGGATCAAGTCCACCTTGCAGACTGCTGACCCCCCAGCACCTGTCTGGTGGATAGGTGCTGATTGCATAAATGCTGAGAGAATTCATATCTGTATGAAATAGGAGCTATGTGACGCATGTATTAAAGGTAAGAGTGTATGGAGTCGGCATGGAACGGGCTGGTGTGTGTGTGTGTGTACGCGCGCATGTTACTTGTCCTCGTTGTGTGACATGGGGGCATGAGCAGTGGAATGCTTCAAGGATCTGAACTATGTGAACTCGAGGCCTGCCTCCTCCACTTAGACTGTGTGATCTCAGACAAATCATTTAGCCTCTCTGAGCCTGACTTTTCTCAGCTGCAACATGGATTATAATAAGACTCACAGCTAGCATTCATTGAGCTCTTACTATGCGCCATTGCTGTACTCCCTAGGCTTCTCAGGCATGATGGTCTTACTGACTTTTCACAATAACCTCCGTACTAAGTATGGCTATTGCCCCACTTTACAGGCGGGGAGGCCGACGCTCTCAGATGTTAGAGACGGTGAAGCCAGGGCCCAAACATGGGCAACCTGACTGCAAGGTGAGCTTTTACTGCCACGATAGCAGACAGTGCCTATTGCATAGGGTTGTCCTAAGGATTGACCGTGACCATACAAGTAACGCACTTAGTGCTGCCTCTTGTCATGTGGTAAGTGCTGTGAATGTTATTATTCACACAACACGTGTGTATGGGATGTGTAAAACAGGTGCAAGACTGTGTGGGAAATGTGCATGTAGTATATCTGAGTAAGAGAGTCCATAGGCAGGTGTATTTGTGGATGTGTATAGTATATGCCACCCATTCAAACAAGGTTTATGATACACGTACTTGCGTATATGCACGTGATATATTTCACACAATGAACACAAGATGTGTAAATAGTGGATTATGAAATTGACAAGTAGCTTATGAAATGAGAAAAAATGCATACTTGAGGTGTGTGATATATAAGCCTACATCGGCCCTGTCCTTATGCCTTGAGGAACATATGCAAATGAGGTGGTCATAGATATCTGAGCTGCAGGCGTGGTCACAAATGTGCACATTTGTGTGTGCACAGAGGTGACACAAACAGATATAGATATGCACAGAGTGTATATGCACAGATATACATACCACCCGTATGCAATGCATTGTATGTGGTCTGGCATGGGCACATGTATGCAAAGTGCTTATGCACAGGTAGAAAGAGAGGCACTCCAACAGACACGCTGTGTTTGTGTAATGCACGCACTTGAGGGCAGACTGTAGTCTCTTTTAGATGTATATATTTTGCCATTCATGTTCTATGCCTCTGCTTAAATGTCGCCTTCTCAGTTAAAATACCCATAACCACCCTATTGAGAACAGACCCAGTTTCCCATGCCAGGCCCTTCTTTATTTTCTCTCCCCGAAAAATACTATCCCTTTTAAATATACTATACCATTCAGTTGTTTATGATGTTCATTGCTTTCTCCCTAGAATGTAAGTTCAGGGAACCAAGGACTTATCTCAGGTTTGTTCACGGCGGGATCCCCCAGCACAGGACCCGGCACCTTAGAGATGCCCACGCACCATCTGTGGCGTCGACAAGTGGACGTCTGCGCGCCTGCAATGCAGCTGCAGGGGCCGATGCGGGCAGGCGCTGGGACAGGCGCACAGCTCAGCCAGGTGGCTGAGCCCCAGGGCAGTGTGACCACCAGGGTGGCGGGCTGGGCGCACGTACACACGCACTTAAACGGAGCGCTCTGTGCACGTGTAAGCGACAGACGTGCACCAGCTGCCGCCAGGCCAGCGCTGGGTCACCTCCGCCCCTGCCCGTGGCCCGGGGTCGGACGGAGGCCCCTCCCCGCCCCTGCGGTCTCCCGGGGCGCGACCCGGTGTACCGGCGCGGGCGGCCGGGCTCCGGCCCATTTCCCGGCGGCCCAGGGCGGGGAGCGGGAGCTGGAGCGGGGCCGGCCCGCCGGGCGGCAGGAAGCGGCGCATTGTTCGCGGGCCGCGGCCCCGGGCAGGGAGTTCCCGGCCCCGCGCGGACATAAAAGGAGAAAGCAGCGCCCGCGCAGCGGCCGATCTCCCGCGGCCTGGGCGCCCGAGGAAGCGCGGCCCCGCGCTCCGCTGACCCCGGCATCCGCTCCGCCCGCCCGGGAAGGTGGGACGCGCCCCGCCCTGCGGCCCGCGAGGCCCGGGTTCGAGTCCTGGCCCGCCGCCGCCCGAGCTGCGTCCTCACGTGAAAATGAAACAAGCGCGTGGAAGCCCCCTGAGCGAGTCCCCCGCCGCCCCCCCACCTCCCTCTGCCCCCCACTCCAGCTTGTCCCACTGAAACCTCACTGGGCGCCTCCCTCAGTCCCTGCAGGAGAAAAGCGCACAGAGATCCAGGCTGCAGGGGGAACCCTCCTACCGACCAAAGGAACCGCTCCAGCTGGCACCCCTTTGTGCGAACGGGCTGCCCAGGACGGGGACCTACACTTTGCGGGGGAACTCGGTCTGCAGGCACCGTAGGGATGGGGACACTGAGGTCTGGAGAGGAAACACTTGCCCAAGGTCCTCAAGCACAGACTGTATCCTGCAGACACTTTACACATCCGGGCTTCCTCCCTGAGCTTAGAAATACGGCCATTTTTGTGGTTGTTGGTTGTAAAATAGATCAAACGAACATGGTTACTGATCTGTATCTTTTCAAACCAGCTCTACCCTGTTACCTCTGGAGGTGGGCGTGGGTAAACTGAGGCCCAGAGAGGTAAAGTGTCCGGCCCAAGCAGGTTGGGGAGTGGGGTGGGGTGCGGCAAGAAGGTCTTCTCCTGGGTCTGCTTTAGGGGATGTTAGTTCTGACAACTCTGGCACCTTAACTTTGGGTGGGGATGTACTTACACGAGGATTAAGATCTAATCAAGGCAGGAAAAGTAAGGGATTAGCAAGCCCAGCCCAGCCCTGCCCACAGCACTGAGCTTTGTTCTCCAGGCTTGGATACTCTTGACTCCTTGAGAAGGAAAAGGCAGCATTTTCGCCATTTCTACAGAGGCCCAGAGAGGTTAAGTGACTTGCACCAAGTCACACAGCAAAAGGCTATGAAGCAGTGGCCCTGCACCCACAGTCAGACCTCTCCCCCTAGAGAGAACCCCTCCATTGAGTCCTATAAGGTGAGGGACCTGTCCTGGGGTGCCTTCCCTTCGCTGGGCCAGGATATTCTGATTATAGAGAATGGCCTTCCCTCCACCCCTGCCCCCGCCCAGCCCGGGAACCCTACACCGGGGGTAATTGAGATCAGATGCGGCTGTGACCCATGGCATGCTCCCCAGGAACCTGGAAGCATTTATTGTCTGGAAGGGAATCCAGGGCCCACTCTCGGCCGCCCTCCCTCCCTTGCTGCCTTCTCCCAGGCGGCTGAAGGTGGACGGGGGCTCTGAGGAGCCTCTGGTGCTGCTTGGGGGTTAGCGCAATGGCCTTGATGAATACGACTGCTGAAAGCGCCTTCCTGGCTTCCTCTTTCCTGGGGATACGGTTACAGGGGGCCAGACTTCCTGCCCAGCCCGCCCAACTGTGCAGTGTGGATCTGCAGGCTCTCCAGCCAGGCAACTCCACAGCCTCCTGTCAGCTGGGGCAGCAGCGGGCCCCATCTCATTCAGAGCTCAGCTCAAATGTCACCTCCTCAGGGAGGCCCTCCCTGACCACCCTATATGAACTAGCCCACCTACTGGCAGTCTCGCCCTCTCCCTCTGTTTCATTTTCTTCACGTGACGTATCTCTAGCTGGTTCAGCTGTTGATTCCTTTTTCTTATAATAGTGTTTATGTCTTGACATTCCCACTCTCCCCTCAAGAATCTGAGCCCTGTGAGGCTTTGTCTTGTTCACTGCTCTATTTGTGGAGCCTAGAACTGTGTCTGGAACACTGTAGGTGCTCAGTAAATACTGACCGAGTGAACAAAGCCGTGCGTGGGTCCCCACCTTTGGCCTCTGAATGTGAAACTTGACTGTGAATCTCTGCTCTGAGCTGAGGTTTGCCATCCTTGATCTCCACCCTCTGGTTCAGGGGTCCTAAAACTACGGCCCGCGGACCACATGCAAATACAAATATTGTATTTGTTCCCCCCCCTTTTTTTGGACTTCAAAATAAGATATGTGCAGTGTGCATAGGAATTTGTTCATAGTTTTTTTTTTAAACTATAGTCCGGCCCTCCAACGGTCTGAGGGACAGTGAACTGGCCCCCTGTTTAAAAAGTTTGAGGACCCCTGCTCTGATTTATCTTGCTTCCTCCGCCTTGATTTCACATTTCTGGAATAAAATTCCAGTTTATGATGCTCACTCTTCTGATGCTCCTGTATTTTTTTGGCTCAGGGTCTCATCGAGGAGCCGCAGGCTGACTCTGGCCTCACATCCCTGATCCCTCTTTGCCTTGTCTCCCCAGCCGGTACTGTGTGGCTGTGGGCACCTCTCGCTCTTCCTAAGCCAGCAGAACTGTTCTTCAGACAGAAGCTTACATGAGAAGCCCAGTATATGAGACAGATGAGAGCGAAGGTGGCGGGGGGGTGGGGGGGAGGGCCCGATCCGGATGCCTGGCTTTTCCCATGTTGCCCCCTGTTGCCCTGACACACCTTTGCAGGTCCCTACAGCTTTGAAGAACATCATTTGAAAACCCTGGATTTGATGATTTCTCAGTCTCTTTTAGTTCTGTAATTCCCCAATGTCATTTCCCAGATGCCTGGTCTTAGGCGTTCGCTTTAGTCATTTGTTTACCGGACATTAATAGGCCACAGTTGAGTTCTAGGCTTGTGCCCTGATCCCTTCTCTCCAATTTCTTGTGTCCAGTTTCTGGCTCCCTTTCCTCATGCAACAAGCAGTCTGGGAGCACAGTTCACGTGCCAGGGCATCTCAGAGAAGGTGGGCAGGGTGTTGGCCAAGCCGGCACCTTCATGTGACTTAAGAAAAAGGCACTCCCTACTGGACAAATGCAGCTCGCTGGACCCCTGCAGACCCGGCAGAAAGTGCCCTTGAGTAAAGAGAAAGGTGACTGTCTTCTTGGTGGACTGTGCCGCGCCAGCACAGCCACGGGTGAACCTGAGAGGGGGCAGTGAAGGATTGAGAAAAGACAGACAAGAGGATGAAAGCTAGGTCTAGCTGCTTTCTGATGGAGAGACAGCGTCACGGCCTGCAAGCCGAGTCTTTATTTTATAGCCAGATTTCAGGAGGCAAAATAAGGGCGTGGTCAAGATGTTTACAACGTTCTCATTCTCGTGGGTTTTGAATCTACTCAATTACTTGCACCTGATCAAGCTTTGTTTCCTTGCTGCACCTCCGGCAGCTCCGCGGCTGATATCACTTAGCCACGTGGGACCACAGGTTCGGACCATAACCTGTCCAAACACCGTAGCCGCTCTCCGCAGTGGACAAAGCCCCAGGTGCAGGCTGGCTGGATTTCAGGCCCCTCGTGTGTGCAGGAACTTCATGGGTGGCTCCATGGGTGTGCAACCTATGCCTGGTCTAATGCCCTGTCATTGTTCTGAAATTTAAAAATAATTTGCAACAAGGGATGGCACATTTTCATCGGGCCCGCGAATTATGTAGCGAGTCCTGACCCTGCACACAGTGCTGCTTAGATGACAGCAGCCCCCATTCCACAGAGGGGAAGCCGAGGCCCAGGGAAGGTGGGCGATCTGCCCGTGCGGCTGGGGGAGGCGTGGACACACTCAGCACGGGGCAGTCGGGCCTGGCCCCCCTGGAGACGCTCAGGAGCAGGAGGGAGAGATGTGGGAGGCACATGTAGAACGTGAGGTGTGCAGAGCCGGAGGAAGTGCTGTTGTCTTGTTGGGAGTGCCTGACCACAGCAGGGGCTGGTGACTGAGGGGTGGGACCGTGTGGGGGAGGGATGACTCTCTCCATCGGGGCTTTGGAGAAGGCTTCTTGGGGCAGGTGACAAAAGACCTGATTAAGGGATGAGGAGGCTTTGAAGCAGGAGTGGGGAGGGAAGGGCCGCCCCAAGGGAAAGTCCAGCACAGGCAGAGACAGAGAAGCAGGGGAGAGTGTGGTGTGGATGGGAGAGTGGGGGTTGGAGGGTGGGCGATGGCACTGGAGAGGCAGAGAGTGAAGGGCCTCGAATGCCGGGGTGAGGGGTCTGGCCTTTATCCTTTGTGTCGGCTTGGGAGGGCCCCAACCCCCAAGACTAGAGCAGATTCACGTACATTTTGTCTGTTTTATATATGGGGTGGAGGTGGGGGACATAGGATTTTGTTTGTAAAAGAAGATGTTACCTCGGCCTGGCCGGTGTGGCTCGTTTGGTTGGAGCATCATCCCTAAAGGTGGTGGGTTTGATTCCTCGTCAGGGCACACACCCATGTTTGGGTTCCATCCCGGTGTGTATGCATCAGGCTACCAATGATGTTTCTCTCTCTTTTCCTCTCTCTGAAATTAATAATAATAAAAATAAATGTTGCTTCTACAAATGTGTGTGAAAGCCATGGGGTGATGGGGTGAAAAGCCAGAGAAGGGGTTAAAAGTTCCTCTGTCAGCTTCTGGCTCCCTTGCAAGGCTCGCACTCTACCGGGAGAAACCGGAGCCTGAGAGAGCGGCAGGAGCTGGCTCCCGGTCACAGGCAATACTTAGAACCCAGGACTCCTGTCTCCTAGATCAGGGCTCTTTTGACGCTGTAGCTGCAGGAACTCAGTCACAGGTCCCTGGGTGAGACTTTCCTAGTGGGTCTGCATGCCCAGCTGAGAGCCTTCTCCTTCCTCCAGCCAGCCTTCCTGGAAAAGGGCGGCCTGTGCTGCCACCTGGTGGCCACTGTGAGGTAGGTGAGGATGCCGCCTCTGCTCTGGAACTAGAACACTAGTTCTACGCCTGCGGCGTGGGGGTGGCCCTGTTCTGGGCCGTTGACCCTGTGGAACTCTGGGATCATTAATGATGGTATAGTCCACCCCAAATCGGTTCTTCCTTCTGTCTTCCCTGCCTTAGTATTCTAATGGTCTAATCTGGAAGTCTGGGTGTTACCCTCAGCTCCTCCTGCCCCCTTCTGCCCTAACTCCAGTCTGTCCCTAAGTCCTGTCAAGTCTACCTTTTAGGCAGACCTGGAGCATGTCCAGAGCTCTCCATCCCCAAGACCACGGCTCAGGTCCGGCTGCCATCGTCCTCACCTGCTCCGCTGCAGTAGCCTCGCATTTGGTCTTCTCCCCACTTGGGCCTGTCTGCAGTCCAGTCTGTATTTGCATCCAGAGGGACCTTGCTAAAGCCCTCCGCTGTGCATGCCACTCTCCGCTGAAACCATCAATGGATCCTCATTGACCTCAGGACAGCCTCTTTGCAAGGAAATCCCTCTGGGAAATGTTCCGGGCAAAGCCGCCAGTCCCACCTCTCTGCCGCCCCCAGGTGGGCAGTATGTGCAGTGGCTACAGGCACAGACTCCAGTGCACGGATACGTGCTTTCAAATCGCACCTCTGTGGCTTGCCAACTGTGTGACGTAGGCCAGGCAACCTGGGGCTATTGTGAGGATTAAATGAATGATCAGGGAAGCAGCTGCTGTAAGTTAGGCCCATGACAAGCTTGAGGGCACAGTCTGCCCGTGAAGCTGCCCTCCCTCCTGACACCAACCGAAAGTTCAGGAGGTGCCCCCAAATGGCCCTCAGGTCTGGCAATTTGCTGGAAAGATTCTCAAAACTCAACGAAACTCTTACACGGACGGTTATGGGTCAGCAGGGGGAAAGGATAAGACGCAGGTCGGCCAAAGGAAGAGCTCTACAGGGCAGAGTTCCTAGGGCCCACAGCTAGAAGGGCAGAGGCAGGGCCGGGCCTCCTGGAGGAATCTAGCCTCCTGAAGCAGTCATGAAGGTGACCGCAGCCGGCCCACCTCTGAGGGGCCATTGCCATCCCTCAGAGGAAGCGAGGCGAAGCCAGGGAAGCAGACTTCAGTTTCATGTGTCAGGACCTTTCAGGAATGACTGCCTGGTGGCGGGTGTGAACGAGGCCAGTCCTGTGAGATATGACACAGGGGCAGCGACCTGGCCTGTCTTGAGGTCCAGGGAGGCGCTGAGAGGGGTGGAAGCAGGGCTCAGATCCCTCCTCCTTGTCTACCCCCAGCTCTGCTGGGCCCAGGGTAGGGGTGGGGAGAGGGGTGCTGGGGAAAGGAGAAGGAAGAGCTGAGGTCAGCGGGGAGCAGCAGGAAGAGGGAAGGAGGGCCTCTGGAGGGAGCTGGGACTCTGGCTGAGCTGTTGGTTCTGAGGAGCAGGGCACTCCCGAGTCGTGGGGTGAGAATTTGGCCTCTTGGGCGTAAGGGGAGAGCACTCTGCCCCGAGAGCCTGCTGGGGAAGGGCCCATCAAAGGCCAGGAGCCCCGGATTCAGGCTGTTTCTCTGCCTTGTGTCCTTGGGCAAACTCCTTCCCTCTCTGGGCTGCAGTCTCCTGGTCTGTTCAGTGGAGGTTTGGGCCCAGTGATGTGAGCCCCTTCTGCAGAGAGTCAGGAAGCAGGGGGCTTAGAGAAGTGGCGTGAGGGTACTGGAGGTCAGGTCAGGACTGGCCCTGGTGGCCCCTGTCCATGGGTCTAGATAGAATCTAGTTCCCCTCCTCCCCCCCCCCCCCCCCCGCCTCTCCCAGCTTCTCCTCTGCTCTCCCCTGCCACCCCCACCCCCCTCCCCTCCAGCCTTTTCTTCTCCTTTTCTATTTTCAGACATCCTAGAGTTATGAGAGAGGCCCAGGCCAGTGTCTTCCCAGGAACCTGAGCTGCTGAGACAGGCCCAGGCCAGTGTCTTCCTAGGAACCTGAGCTGCTGAGAGAGGCATCTTCAGCCCAGTTAGACCGGCAGGGAGTCCTGGCTTAGGAGAGAGCTGGGCCCTCACTTCTGGCTGGAGAAGGGCCTTTCCCCTGGCCTTGCTCTGGCCCAGGCCCTTTTGGGCACTGGTTTCTGCTGGAGCCCAGATAAACCTGGAGCTGGTGGTGGGTGGATCCGGGGAGGAATGCAGTCCTCGCCCCGCCCTCGCCCATCAGGGTTCAGCCTGACCAACACCAGGAGAGTCTTGGGGGCTGTGCCTGGCTGGGCAGGGAGCCAGAGGCCAAGGGCTCCAGGGCTGGATTCTGGCTTCAGTCTGGCTGAACTGCCAGCCCTGCCCGTCAGGCACCCAGCTCTGTTTCAGGATTCCCACCCTGGCTTCCTCCTCCCCCTGGACTAGGTGGGCTTCCCCTTGGCTCTTAGAATCACTACACACTGGGTCCTGACTCCAAGCGGTGAGAAGGTCAGGGTGAGAGATGAATGACCCTCACCAAAGGGGCACCCAGGATGCTTCTTGTCTCCTTTCTTCCCTGACCCCCAGAAAATACATTTTACTATCAGGGGGAGTGGGAGTTAGGGGAGGCACTGCTCTGTGATGGTGTGCAAGGCAGGCCTCCCTTGATCATGGAGGTGACCTTTGGGGGTGGACGCTTGGTTCTTCCACATCCCTCCCAGTCAGTCCTTCCTTCCCTGGGGTCAGAGTCCAGGGCCTCCACCTCAGGCAGCCTCCTTCTCTCGCCACTAACTCTGAATGGCCGGGGAGAGTCCCCTGCAGTCCCTGGGACTCTTTCCCCACCCGTAAAATGAGAAGATTGGCCTGAATTCCCTTCCAGCTCCATTGTATTCTGATTTCCGATGGGGGCAGCAGTTTTCGCTCCTGGGCTCAGGTGGCCTGGGTGGCTATTGCTCCCTTGATAGGGAAGAGGTTTAGGGGGTGAAGGATGGAGGCCTCTCTGTTCGGGAGCAATAACTCCCAGCCAGAACGTGGAACATGAAGCAGATTGTGCCAGAAGTAGAGACTGAGATGGAGAGGAACGCAGTCAGCAAGAGGGACACAGATAGCAACACAGAGACAGTGAAAGAGGAAGAGAGCGTCCCAGAGATGAAGAGACAGGGCCCTCCCCCAAGACTGAGGCAGAGATAATGGCAGAGACAGAGATCAGAGACCAGACAGAGATAAAGGTAGGGATAGGGCAGAGCCATAAAGTAGAAAAATAGCCAGGAACAGTGTTCTGTTCCCTGAGGGTGGGGTTGGGTCAAGCCAGATCTTGCTTTTGTCTGCAAGGTGATTCTTCTGCCCGTTATATAATACCCTCCCTGCCCCTAACCTAAATGTCCTCCAGACCTCACCTCCCTGGAGTAGTGGGTACAGATGTGAGAACCCACATAGGCTTGGCATCTCTGAGGCTTCATGGCCGTGGAGTTTCATTAAAGTGTAGGGGTAAATGGTGGGGCATCAGAGAGGAATGAAGGTTATTGCCTGCAGGGGGATGTGATTAAAAAGAGCAAGGAGATGGGAAGCCCAAAGAAAAATGTCCTTTTTCCTTAAAAAAATATATTTTTATTGTTGATAGTATTGCAGATATTCCCATTCACCACCATTTACTCCCCTCGTCCTAGCCTCTAACGTCCACGTCCCCCCCCCCCCAAGATCTTCACTATCTTATTGCCTGTGTCCATGGACTATGCATATAATTTCTTTGGTTTATCTCTTCATCCTCCCAACCCCACATCAAGGTATGTCAGTCCTCATCTTTCTTTAGATCAGGCATTGACCCCCTGTCTCACTATTTAAGGAATAATGGGGAATCTGGTAGTGGGGGGAGGGTTGAGAGGCAGGTATTTAGTGTTGGAAGGAAGGAGGAGATATAAAAGGAGAGCCGAGCCAGGTAGACATGGGATCAGTTGAGTTAGGTTAAGTGTCGTTGGTTTGGTTTGGGTGGAGTGGAATAGAATTGTGTTATTTCATATTGGGGTGGGTTTGGTTGGATAGAATGGAGTTGGATTTGGGTGGAGCTGAGTTGAGCTGGCTTGCCATGAATTTAGTAGAGTTAAGCCAAGTTGGGTTGTGTCAAAATGGGTTAGGTTCGGTTGAGTGGAGTGGAGTTTCATTGATTTGGGTGGATTGAGTGGAAAGAAGTCGAGCTGGGTTGATTTGAGTTGAATTTAGGATAATTGAGGTGGACTGAATTGAGTTGAATTAGGTTGGGTTTGCCTGTATAAGAAAGTTTAAAGATTCCAAGTAGACAGGTGTAAGGAGGAGTCCAGATCCAGCATAATTTAGATTATGCTGCCAGGGGAAAAAAAGGCGGAGTGAGATACCAATGGGGAGAGAGCTGATGAGGGGAGATATCCAAGGCTGACATCCCGGCAGATCTGTGAGTCTGGGTTTGGGATATAAATTATCTAGTTCAGTGTTTCTCCATCTTTTTACCCTATACATCTGTGGTGTGGAAGCTCACTATAGCTGTGATCTGCATCTTGGCATGGGAGGAGGGGAATACCAGAATTTCATCACATGTATGTATATGCTCACGTGTGCACTCCCAGCGCTCTGCCCTTCCCCATCCTCTGTCTCTGTTCCTCTGAGGCTCACCCCCTTGTCTGAGAGCTCTCTGAGAGCACACGTCTTCAGCATCCCAGCTAGAGGTTGGCCAAGATGCCATCTCATGCATCTTTGTAGGATGGATGGAGCGGAATTGAAAGGAATCACAGAGTAGGGCGGTCACTCCTTGTGCTGCACCAGCACGGCCATGGGTGAACCTGAGTGGGGGCGGCTGAAAGGCTTAGAAAAGACAGACAAGGGAATGAAAGCTGGGTCTCGGTGGGACGCTGCTTCTCTGAGAGACAGCGCCAGTGCCCACAAGCCGTGTCTTTATTTTATAGCAGATTCCACGAGGCAAAGTAAGGGCGTGATCAAGATGTTTACAACATCCTCATGGGTTTCAATCCTACTCAACTACATGCACCTGAACTCTATCAAGCCCACATCACTCAGGCACGTGGGGCCACGTGTTTGGACCATAGGTTCACGCTTTCAAGTACAGCTGTTGGCTATAATTGTGCTGGGAGGGCCCTGCCCTCCAAGCTGGGACTTGCACGTGGCAATGAGAGGACTGTGCCCTCTCATCAGTCCAAGGCTTGAACCTGTCCGAAACACTGTAGCGGCTCCCCACAACTCCTGTGCGCTGGGTGCTAGGTGCCCCAAGGAGACGCCCAGTTCCTGTCCTGAGGGTGGCTTGGGGGAGGAGTACAGGTGTGGAGGCTTTGGAGTGACCACAGAGATCGTGCTCCTCTCCGCAAAGAGTGGGAACCTGTGGGCAGACAGCTCACCAGCCTTCACTCACCACCCAGTTCTTTCTTGTGGTCCTGTGGTCCTGGCCACATGGCTGGGCCTCCTCCCTCCCAAACCCATTGGTGAATCACATACACGCACACACACACCACAGCACTGGGCAGCCCCATGAGAGCTCAGGTTGGACAGAGTGGAGACTGGAAAGCCCCTCCCTGTGCAGGAACTCTGAGACGTAGGAATCCCTGCAGCTCCGAGCCCTCGTTCATTCTTGGCTTAAGAATCTGTGTTTGTAGGGGAAGGAAAACGCAGAGAAGACAGAATTCTGGGGCTGCAGTTGAACAACCAGGAAACCTTAGCCAAGTGACCTCACCTCTTGAGTGAGTTTCTTCAAGTGTAAAGTGTGCATAATGTGCTCTTACAGGGTAAGGGGGACAGTCAAGGAAGATAACAAATATGAAAGTTTTTGTAAACAGAAAACTGTGTGTGTGTGTGTGTGTGTGTGAGTGTGTGTGTGTGTGTAAAGTCATTCATTCATTGGCTCAGTTATTTAACAAACAGTGCTCTTGAAATATCAGTCAATGTCCTAAGCATTTCACAAGAATTAACCCATTTAATACTCTTAACAACCCTCTAAAGATGTTACTAATACTGTCCCCATTTTCTAGACAAGGAAACTGAGGCACAGAAGTGTTAAGCAATTTGCTCAATACCGTAAAGCCAGTCAATGGTAGTGTTGGGGTTTGTAACCAGTCCTGTTTGGCTTCAGTTCCTTCTTTCCTTCCTTCTTTCCTTCCTTCCTCCCTTCCCTCCCTCCTTCCCTTTCTTCCTTCCCTCCTTCCATTCCTTGGTCACATATTTATTAAGCGGTCTCTGTGTCGCGCCCTGGGTCTGCTGAAAGGGACCAGACTTGGTCAGTGTGCTGTGGTGGGCCCTGTCCAGAGGCAGAAGTGGCCTCCTGCAGGGGTGGGGTTTGGAATCACATTGTCAGGCTGCAAGTGATTCGAGTCACAAGATTCCTATTTCAAACTTTGAATTTGGATGTGACCAAGCAACTGTGCTACAAAACCTTTATAGGCTCATTCATCCGAACCCAGGGAAGTGGCCACCTATCTACATCAAGTCTGACGATCGAGCCAGAGTCAACTGGTGCCTGAAGCACATGGAGAAGGGGTCGGAAATCAGGCAAAATCTGGAACTTCTCACTGTCAAGGATCTTGTAGTGGGGATCTACCAGCAAAAGTTCCTCAAGGAGCCCTCCAAGACCTGGGTTCGGAGCCTCCTCGACGTGGCCATGGGGGATTATTCTAGCAACACAAGGTGCAAGTGGCACAAGGAAAATGACATTCTCTTCTGCGCTTTAGCTGTTTGCAAGAAAATTGCGTACGGCATCAGCAATTCTCTGGCCACGCTCTTTGGAATCCAGCTCACAGGGGCCCACGTGCCCTTGCAGGATGACGAGGCCAGCAACAGGGTGACACCCAAAATGGTCATATTAGATGCAGGGCAGTACCAGAAGCTAAGGTTTGAGAGCTCAGGATTCTCTCATTTCAACTATTCTAATCAGGAACCAAGATCAAACACGCCCATTGGTGACTCCCCTTCTGGGGTGAAGCTTTCAGGCCCAAACAGCAGTGTTCGGGGAAGAGGGATCACGCGCCTGCTAGAGCGCATCTTGGCTCCCCCAGCAGCGTCCCCAGGTTCTCCAGCTGTGAGACCGCGCTCCCCCCTGCCCTGTCCCTGATGGGTGGGTACAAGCCCTTCTCCCCCCTGTCTTAATGATGGTACTTCTTCAATTCTGGGAAAATAGCAGGCCCGCTTCCCTCTGATTGCAGTCCCGGACGGCAGAGCATGCCCCTGGTACATGCCGCCCTCTGAAACGGCCTGCCTTGTAGAGAATCCTGTTTCGTAGATTAAAAGTAATTGTGGTTGGAGAAGATTTGGCATTTTTGCTTTTTTTCTCGAGGGCTTGCTCTGCTTCCTGCCTGTGTAATGGGAATGCCTTGGAACAGGGGTGGGCAAACTTTTTGACTCGAGGGCCACAGTGGGTTCTTAAACCGGACCGGAGGGCCGGAACAAAAGCATGGATGGAGTGTTTGTGTGAACTAATATAAATTCAAAATAAACATCATTACATAAAAGGGTATGGTCTTTTTTTTTTTTTTTTTTTTTTTTTTTTAGTTTTATTCATTTCAAACGGGTCGGATCCGGCCCGCGGGCCGTAGTTTGCCCACGGCTGCCTTGGGAGGTTGACCTCCAAGGACCAAACTGGCCTTTTCAGAGGAGTGCTTTTGCAAATGTTACATTGTGCTCATCTTTTCCTCCACAATAAAGGTATTGAATGTCTGTTATGAAAGGTGTTAAAATAGTGTTGCTGTACTTCTTCCCATTATGACATGTAGAACCTTTCTCTTGAGACCTGCTGGCTGTTTTCATTGCAAATATCTAAAAAATTTGCCTTTAATAAAAATAAAGTTTTGTTAAAAAAACCCTTTTTTTAAACAAAAAAAACTGAGTGGGCTCCTGATACATTCCCAGGCAGCCTGGGCAGTTCTTGGCTGTTGCCATGACTGAGTGTACTCGTAGCCAGCTAAACTTCCTGCCCTGTGTGGGGCAACCCTACACGAAATGTCAGTAGTGCCCCACGGAGAAGTCATTCAGCGAAACAGCACTGGTGCTTGAGTCCTCCCTGCCAGTTGAAACTGCATGGCTTGGACAAGTGGCTTTACCTTTCTGAGTCTCAGCTTCCATCCATCTCTGAGAAGCACGGTTGGAGTGAGTATGCCTGTCTAGTACCCAGCAGTATCTGGCGTGCTTTGGTTGTTCAACAAACCTGAACATCTTTTCCTGCTCGAGGCAATACCAGAAATGCGGAGGAGAAGCAGCTAGGAGTCCAGCATCCCTCCAAACCCTCCTGCCTCCCTCTGGGGACGTTCTGATGCCTGCTGGGCTCCAGGCAGGCTGGAGGGCTCGCTCCCACATGGTCCTTCTCTCCATCCAGGCTCCTCACCAAAGGCAAGACAGCTCCCCTTCCTACCAGCCCAGGGGCTGCAGGCAAAGCCACCGCACCTTGCTGAGCCTGGCTTCCTTGTCCGTCACAGGGAGAAACAGAGTACTGGTGGACATCAGTTGCTTCTGGCTGTCCCTCGTCCCTTCCTTCTTCTTTTGATAATAGCACCCAGTTTTCATTGGGGGAACATCCCTCTCCCATTTGCAGTTCACGTGGGCACACAATCTAGGACTGGCCAGTCAGAATCAGGCATTTGGTTCAGGGAGGCACGTGAGCTAAGCCAGAGCAATCGGAAGTGCCAAGTAAAGGGGCATTTTCCTTTCATTTGGGATTGGGGCACCAGGGAAGAGTCCTTGGGGAGCACCCCTGTGAGTGAAGCTAACTAGAGGGGGAACAAAAAGATGAGAGAGAAGGAGTGAAGGAGGAAGAGCTAGAGTTAGAGCTAGAGCGAGAGACTGACACCTGGATGCAGCCATACCTGTCTCTAGATTTCCAGCTTGGGAGCCAACATTTCCCCTTCTTTTGCTAAAATCAGTTGGAAACAGGTATCTGTCACTTGTAATAGAAATAATCCTGACTTACTCAGGGGCTAAACACACCTACGTCAAAAGATTGTCACGTGGATCAAAAGATAATAACACAAGTGAGAATGTTTTTGGAAACTGTACTGGCGGCACCGAATGACGGTAAGATATTAGTGAGGCGTTAAAGCAGGAACACACATTCCAGGCGAACGATGAGTCAGTCCAGCTCTACTAGTATTTGAAAGGCTCAAGAAAATGGACTTTTCAGGCTCATGCCTGAGAACCGAAGAGTTCTTTAGAAGCTCGAATTATTGCCCATTACATGTTCAGTTTGCTGGGTGTGAATTTTCAAAGGATGAGATGTCTCCTGGCATTGGGGCACGTCTGTGTCTCATGTGACTTATTCTGAGGTTGGTCATTTTACAGGAGGCCTTGGGACAGAGGAAAGATACCTGGCCTGTTTGGACAAGTCCCTGCCTTGCTCTGAGTCTCCAAGTCTGCCACCAGAGGCAGGTGGGTTGGACCTTCTAGGGAGCTCCTGGCTCTGACCCGCTGTGGTCCTGCAATTCTCAGACCCCGTTCTGGGACAAAGAAGGTCTGCCCACCTCTGGAGTCTGCAGCGCGTACCTGCTCCTGGATTCTCCGGAGAAACCACACATCAGAAACACAGACCACACAGGAGACTCTGGAGTCTGGCTCAGTCTCCATTTCCAACATCCTGTGCCTTCCTGCCACATCCAAAAACTCGATTTCCCAAGCCCCTCTGCAGCCAAGCGAGGTCACATGACACAGTTCTGGTGAAGGGGATGTCAGAGGGGCTCTGCTGGGACCACCTCTGAGGGTATGGAACAGAGGGGTGGAGAGAGCGTGGGCTCCTGATACATTCTCAGGCAGCAGCAGCAGCCTGGGCTGCTCACCTTGGACTTGTCATCGGAGAAGAAGAATCGCTCCACCCTTTTCTTTTGTTTAAGTTTCCATGTTTGGGACTTCGTTATGTGTGGTGAGATGCATTCCTGGTACTGTAGGCTAGCAACCCCTTGCCTGCAACCACTCTCTCTTAAATTCTTTTTACATATCTAGTACAAGCACCCCCCCTTCCCATTTAGGACCACACTGACAGCATTTGATTAATTATATAATTAGTAGTAATAACAATAATTCCACCAATACTGCTCATTTACTGAGTGCCTTCTACGTGCCAGGCATTGAGCTAAGTGATTTTATCCCAACACTGCTCCCAGGAAATAGACACTATTACTGTCCTTATTTTTGGACGAGGGAATGGAGGCTCAGGGATGACATATATATGGCTGGCTCCAAGTCATCCAGTTAGAATACTGAAGCCAGGCTCCAAATCCAGCTCGCCTGAGTCTGAAACCTCTGCTCCCGATCTAAGGAAATGGGCTTATTTAACAAGCAGGGAAACTGAGGTTCAAGAGGGCGAGTGACTTGCCCAAGGTCATAGAATGAGCTCAGGGGGTCACGTTACTAGAAACCAGGCCTTCTGGGTCTCCATACAGGGCTCCTTCTGTGACCTCCTGCTGCTTAGGGAATGATGAGTCTTGAAGGCTGGGCTAAGGTCTCAGGCAGTGGGAGCTACTGATGGTTCTGAGCAGAGGTAGGAGGGAAACCGTTCCTCTTTCTTCAGCTGTGGTGGAGGAGGAGGGGGACATGGGGACTGACATGTTACAGCCCCAGCAACCTCCACAGCAACTGCTGTCCCTTAGCAAGACAATGGCTCTTTCCCAGGCTCCTCTGGTTAATCCGTCACAGGCGGTTGGTCTCCCGGATCCCGGAGCTGATGACTGATGCTCTTCAGATTAGGCTGCCTGTGGGGGCAGGCTGGGGAGGAAGCCAGTGGCGTGAGCATGCGGCCATCCTGTGTTGATCAGATGGCGCCAGCTGCCTAGCGGTGAAGTCTGTAGGACAGGGGACCCTGCAGTGGAAACTCCCCAGATGAGCTCGGGGACTCTCCACTCACCAAACTCCTGCTTGTTGATCTGCCTTCTTGGCCAGCCTCCACCAGGATTCGGGTGTTTGTTTTTTTAAACATTCAGGGCTTGGGATCCAGAGCCAGGGATGGAGGGTGACATCAAACAGACCAGGACTCAGATCCCATCTCTCTCCTATTAGCCTGTGGCCTTTAGCAAGTCAGCTTTTCTGTTTGCAATAACGAGGGCAAGAAGGCCTGCCTCCTGGAGCTGTTGTGAGTTACAGAGGACACGATGCACCCACGCCTCTTCGCACAATGCCTACCACACAGCAAGGGTTCCAGCCGCGGGTCTGACTCCTCCTCTTCTTCCTCCTCACCACAGGCAACGTCTACTCCCTAGACTCTAGGGTGATCTTTGAGCCTCAGTTTCCTTTTTTGCACAATGGGGATAACGGTACCTTCCTCTTGGAGCTGCTGTGAGGATTTCAATGAGAGAGGGATGTAAAAATATTTTGTGACTCTCAGTTCTTAGCTTCTCAGCTGAACTATGTTGTTTATTTGGACCCCCACTCCTCACACCCAGCTGACCAATCGCCTTAAAGGTGCATTTCTGTCTCCTCCAAATGCTGGCTGGCTGTGCTGGGACTCAGGTGCTTGGTACCTAGTATTCAGAAAGCAGGGATTAGTGGTGCCACCTTGGGCCAGTCCCTTAAACTCTCTGGACTTCGGGTTCTTTCTCTGTAAATTGGAGGTGAAAATATGCCTTAGGGCTGCTGAGTAATGTCATGTGATACTGCATGTAAAATACACAGCATTCTACCTGGCACATAGTAGGTGGTCAAGAAATAGTAGCAATTACTATTCTTACCACCCATGCCCAACCCTAGGCTGGCACAGAGCAGGTGAAGAGGAGGAGGAAGAGAATGTTGCACAAAACTTTCCTGCTCAGGTAGGGAATGGAGGGAGAGCAGGTGAAAAATGAGCATTGAGCGCCTACTGGAGCCCGCGTGTGCTCCCATGGACCACCCTTTTCATCCTCACACTAACTCTTGCAAGAATGGAATTAACTCCATTTTATAGAGGGGAAACTGAGACCCCAAAGGGGAAGTTGGTTGCCTAAGGTTGCACTGAGGGCTGGTCAGGAATAGGAGGGCTGGGAGCTGAAGCTGCTGGGTTGATTCCAGGCAGTTTCTTGCCTGCTTGTGAAGCTGCCTCCAGAGGTGGGGCTGGGTGGGGCTGGTCCCTGAGTGATTCAGGTAAGAGTCAGCTCTGGATTTCCAAATAGTGGGTAGGACCCAGGAGGGGGGGAGAC